TACATAGGGAGTTCCAAGTCAGCTGGGGCTACACGGAGACCCTGTCTCAAAAAACAAAAACAACAGAAGAAAGAAGATTAAGGTATTTGAAGGAAGTTGCATATTAAATTCTGGAAAGGTTGGTAGATTAGGGCACCTGGTATAGGACTTCACAGAGTTAGCTGTTTTCCTGTTCCTGCAGAGAAGCAGAAGAAATTATCTACACACAGCCTGTTGTTTCCTTTTCTTGTCTTCTCATTGATGGAAGCACTAGATACAGGCAGAATGCTCATGTGGGTTTCTAAGCCTGTCCTTTGAGATTCCCAAAGCCCAGGGTTTTAGAATGCTCAGGTGGGTATCCAAGCCTGCCCCTGGAGATCCCGACATCCCAGAAAGCGCTCTTCCAGAGATCGTGACAGGGTGTAGTCACTATTCCACTGTGAATGTCTGACCACCTGGGCCTTATGACTGAAGTTTCAAATCTCCATGCTGTGTGTGCAGGGTCTCATGAATGGTACGTTTCAGGGCTGCTGAGTGACAGGAGCACCTGAAATTACTCACTGACTACCAAGGGAGGATTAAGACTTCAGAACTCTTGCTTGTACCAACTGGAACTGTCCTGTTTACATAATGTAATGATGTGGGGTAAAGAAAACTAGTGACTAATGTGTCAGGAAAGGTAAGCTTAGCACCTGCGGTTTGTGAACTTGTGTGTATGGATTTTGCTTTATTTCATTAGTACTAGTTTAAGTATTTTATAGATTTCTAAAATGTTACTGATTTATTTATTTATTCATGTTTTTGGTCCTGGGGGTCCATCCCAGGACCTCACACCATGCAATGTAAGTGTTCCAACCCTCAACTACAGCCCTGGTTGCTTTATTTTTATTTATTTATTTATTATTTATTTTTGCGAAGTTATCAGTCACTTGAATCAGATTTCAAAGCTTGATTTCTGTGTGTCTGAGAACTATTATTTTACTTTATGTCAGTGTTGAGTGGGTCTGATCATAAGAATCACCTGAGACTGTGATAAAGTTGATTTTGAGAACAGTACCTAGAAATATTGTGTTAGAGTTAAGATCCATGCTTCCATATTTTTCCTGTAATTTTACTTTGAAAATGAAATATTTTAGGTCTAATAATATTAAAAGCTATGTCTTCATTTAGAATTGACAATTTTGAAAATGTGTCACTTATGTGCCATACTATATAGCTCTCCATAGTGATAGCTAGATAAACGATATGTGTATACATGGATGGATGGATGGATGGATGGATGGATGGATGGATCCATGGATGGATACATGGATGGATACAGGGATGGATGCGTGGATGATGGATGGATGGATGCCTGGATGGATGCATGGATGGATGCATGGATGGATGGATGAAAGAATGGATAAATGGATGCATGGATGAATAGATGGATGATGGGTGGGTGGAAGAATGGATGGATGGATGGATGGATGGATGGATACATGGATGGATACATGGATGGATGTGTGGATGATGGATGGATGGATGATGGATGGATGGATGCATAAATGGATGGATGGAAGAATGGATGAATGGATGCATGGATGGATGCAGTGTATGAAACTGTCAGATGAGTATTACAAAATTGTGTGTGTGTGTGTTTGTGTGTTTGTACTTGTATATACCTTTAAAGACCAGGGACAGCTCCGAGCCAACCCCTGTTACGTTACTCTGACAGAAATAGAACAGTGGGTAGGAATTTAGTCCCTTTTGAGGGCCACTTCCAAGCACCTGCCCCTTCCTTCATCATTTCTGTTCTACATGAAACTATTTTCTTGACTTTGTATTCTTAAATTAGCTTTAAGCTTTCTTTAAAGTTTTCCTCTGTATATGTGTCAGAGAAAGTGTTTGTACAAATTTCCCATTGGACTGCTTAAGTGGACTCATACAACATTTCTTTGACAATCGCTTGCCTTTTCTGTTTGTTGTACTTGAGGATCCATCCATTTCTTTTAATATAAACAGTGCTATTAAGAACATTCTTGGGGCTGGAGTGATGGCTTGCCAGTTAAGAATCACTTGCTATCTTGCAAAGGACTGGCATTTAGTTCCCAACACCTATGCTAGCAGCTCACAATGGCTGCCTATAACTTCAGCTCCAGGGACTCCAACACCCTCTTCTGGCATCCACAAGAAACACTCCATCCCACATCCATAGATAGATAGATAGATAGATAGATAGATAGATAGATAGATAGATATAGATATAGATAGATAGATATAACCTATTTTTAATAATAATATAATATATATAATATATTATATAATATAATATATATAGC